TGTGTGTCTGTGTGTGTGTGTGTGTCTGTGTGTCTGTGTGTCTGTGTGTGTGTGTGTGTGTGTGTGTCTGTGTGTGTGTAAGTACACATGCATACATGTGCATGTGGAGGCCAAAAAAGAGTGTCAGGTCCCCTGGAACTGCCCAGTGTAGGTGCTGAAATCTGAACTCTGGTCCTCTGCAAGAGAAGTAAGCATTTTTTAACCTCTGAGGTGTCTCTCTAGCCCATTTTCCATTTAGCATACCTTAGTTTACATCAGCCTTGTTCAGCTGCACCATTGCCAGACTGGGCTGGTGGCTGGCCTGACTGAGGCAGAATTCCAGAGCAATGCTAGGGGCTTAATGGACCCTTGATAAACACCAATGAATGAATAGGTGAGTTCTGGTGATAAGATCAAGGTTGGAGAGATGGGGTAGGAGTATACTGCAAGGCCTTGGAGACCCCATCCCCAGCTCTTCCACTGCTGTGACCCTTGGGGCCCCCAGAAATGTCATCACCATCACCACTACCTCAGGGAGCCCCCAAGTCAGTCGAATCTAAAGCAGCTTCTCAGGCCTTCTAAGGCACCTATTTTTGGCCCCCCTTTTTTGGGACAGGGTCTCCCTGTAGCCCCAGCTGGCCCTGCACTCACTATTAAACCAGGCTGGCCTTGAACTCACAGAGATCCACCTGCCTCTGCCTCCCAAGTACTGGGACTAAAGGTGTGTGTCACCATGCCCGGTTGTATTTTGTTATTTTTATTTTGTGTATGAGTATATTGCCTGCATGTATGTAGATGCATCTGTGTCATGCAATGCCCATGGAGGTCAGAAGGGGGTGTTGGATCCCCTGGAACTTGAGTTCTAGACAGTTGTTAGCCACCGTGTGGGTGCTGGGAATTGAACCCAGGTCCTCTGTAAGAGCAGCCAGTGCTCTTAACCACTGAGCCACTTCTCCAGCCCCTATTTGACTTTAAAAAAAAAAGATTTTAAATTATGCGTATGTGTGTGTCTATATGTAGGTATGTGCCCATTAGTGCTGGTGCCTGAGGAGGCCAGAAGAGGATATCAGATCCCCTGGCACTGGAGTTACAGTTGTGAGCCCTTTGTTGTGGGTTCTGGGAATCAACTTGGATCCTCTACAAGAGCAGTATATGCTCTTAAGAGCTGAGTCATCTCTCCAGTCCCTTGTTTTGCTTTGTTTTAAACTGACCTGGAATTCACTATGAAGACCACGTTAGCCTCAAACTTGCCTCAGCCTCCCCATTGCTGGGAACTTAGGTACATACCACCAGAACATTAACTAACAGTCTGAAGCCACCATCCTTAGGCCTGTGTGTACAGTTGGTCCTTGGTGCTCGGCTGGTGTCTGGGGACTTGAGTTTCAGGAGGAGACCCTCCCTGTCCTAAGAGTGGCTCACTGTTTAGATTATACAATTCCTGATCCTTTGCCTTCACTTCCCAAGTGCTGGCTTTACAGGTACGCATGATATTCAGTGCTGGGAATCAAAAACAGAGCTTCATGCATGGTAGGGAAAACACTTTACAAACTGGGCTACATCTCCATCACAAATAGCATTCTTTTGTAAAAAAAATTTGGGGGGCTGGAGACATGGCTCAGCAGTTAAAAGCACTGGATGTTCTTGCAGAGGATCAAGGTTCAAATCCCAGCAACCACGCATGTCCCTAGTCTGTTTTTCAGTTTTTGGAGACAAGGTTTTATTATGTATCCCAAGGCTAGCATCAAACTCAATGCAGCCAAGGTGAGCCTTAAACTTATGGTGATCCTCCATGCCTGGACCTGTGTTGCCAATGTGTCGGTATAGCAGAGTTGGCCCATTACAATAAAAAGCCAGCTGCAGGGCTGGGGCTAGCTCAACTGTCAGAGCACTGGGGATCCAAATTCAAGTCCTCATGCTTACAAGCTACTTTCGTGACAGCAATTTTCCCAGACCCCTACCCCACCTTTTAGGATGGGGTCTCTTTTTTTAAAATATTTTATTATTTTTATGTGTACAAGTGTATTGCCTGCATATATATGAGTGCATCCATGTCATGCAATGCCACGGAAGTCAGAAGAGGGCTTCGGATTCCCCTGGAACTGGAGTTAAAGACGGTTGGTAGCCACCATGTGGGTGCTGGAAATCGAACCTGGGTCTTCTGCAAGAGCAGTCAGTGCTCTTAACTGCTGAGCCCCCTCAGGGCAGGGTCTTATGGAGCCCAGGCTGACCTTAAACTGGCTATGGGGCTGAGGTGAAACGAACTTCTCATCCTCCTGCCCGTACCTCTCAGTACTGAGGTTACAGGAATGCAACAGCACACTGGGTTTATGTGGTGCCAGGGAGCAAACCCAGGGCTTTGTGCATGCTGGTTCCTTCTTGTCTTTTTTTCTTTCCCTCCTTTCCTTTTTTGGTTTTTGAGACAGGGTCTCCCTGTAGCCCCAGCTGGCCTGGAACTATGTAGACCACGCTGGTCTTGAACTCAGAGATCCGCCTCTCTGCCTCCCGAGTGCTAGGACTAAAGGCCTGCACCACCACGCCCGGCTTCTTCTGCTTTCCTCTTAATGCGGCCTCGTGTGCCTTCTCTTCCTGATTTGCTTCATGTCCTCTCATGATAAAACACAGCTCAGAGGACAGCTATACACTGAGTCCTGGGTCCTAGCACACCTTTGAACCTGGGGGCAGTCTCAGGAACCCCCAGCACACACACTTCCTTCTCAATCTTTCCTCCTTGCACTGGTCACTTGACATCCTGTCCTTCCTGCTGCCATTCCCACACCCAGGGCCCCATCTTTCAGGTGTCTGCGGCATTCACAGCACTGCCCTGCAGACCACAGAGACAATGGAAGAGCCCGGTGTGGTGGCTCATGCCTATAATCCCAGCACTTGGGAGACCGAGGGCAGGGCGACTGCCCGAGTCCCAGGTCAGACTGGACTGTAGAGGGAAACCTTGTCTCTCAGTACCACCCCCCGCACACACACCGAAAAAAGAGCACACACCAGGAGGATATTTGCTGAATGGCAACTGTAACTGCTTTATTTCCAAAGGCAAAACCCCTCCCTGGGCTGAGTGGCAGGGCCATGCAGGACAGGAGCAGACAGAGATGGGGCAGCTGGCAGGAGAGGCTGGCAGGCCCTGAAGGACACTTCACACAGGCTCCATCTGTAGTTCCTCCCCGTCTGAAGGCTCTATCTGGTGGAAGGCGGCATGGGAGCCGATGACCACCAGGGTGGCTCCTGTGGGACAACGGCCAGTTCTGGGTCATGCTCCATCACCTGACCCCATCCCCCACCCTGCCCAGACCCTGTACTCACCCAGGACCCAGAAGACAGCGGAGCCAGCGCCAGCCAGCCAGAAGAAAGGGAAGGAGACGCCCCCAGCCAGGGCATACTGATGCACTGGGCTCAGCTCTCGGCCTAAGGACAGACTGCATTGGACAGCTGTTCTCACCTGACCCTCTGTACTTTCTGTCAGAGGTAGCAAGTGCCCCCCTCAATCTGATGTCACTTGCTCTGGAACCTTCAGGATAATGCAGATTCCTCAGGCCAAGGCCTTCCCCTACACGCTAGCCCCACCCTGCTTCCCCAACGTGATCTGTCCTCTAGAACACTGCACACCTTCCTCAGCTCCAGCTCTGCCTGTAGTCCCACCTTCTCTAGCAATGCCAAGATACCCTGTTTCCCCAAACTAGGCTCTCATGTTCTAGCCTGAAGTAATGGAGACCACGAATCTTGGGCCGGTGGCCAAGCCTGAGGATTTTTGTCTTTAAAAAACAAATTTAAAAGCTGAGCACGGTGGTGCACACCTTTAGTCCCAGCACTTGGAAGGCAGAGGCAGATGGATCTCTGTGAGTTCAAGGCCAGCCTGGTCTACGTAGGGAGTTCCAGGCTACCTGGGACTACAGGGAGACCTTGCCTCAAAACAGACCAAAAAAAATTCTTTTAAGATTACTTTTAATTATGTGTATGTCTGTGAGTATGTGCACATAAGTGTGAGTATATGAGTTAGCCAAAGGCTCTGAATCCCCTGCAGCCAGAGCTACAAGTGGCTGTGAGATGCCTGAGGTGGGTGCTGGAAACTGAACTCCAGTCTTTTGCAAGACCAGTACATACTTTTTATTTATTTATTTATTTTTACTATTTTTATTTTATGTGTATGAGTGTATTGTCTGCATGTATGTGAGTGCACCCGTGTCATGCAATGCCTCGGAGGTCAGAACAGGGCTTCGGATTCCCCTGGAACTGGAGTTAAGGACGGTTCATAGCCGTCTTTTAAACCTAACTGGAGAGCAGTGATCCAATTCACATATTGCCAGAAATCTCAAAGATTTATATATATATAAATATATATATATATATAAAAGTGTTTTGGGGGCATATGTCTCAGTGCACCCATTTTGTGCAATGCCCATGGAGGCTAGAAGAGGGTGCCAGATCCCCTGAAACTGCAGTTATGAACAATTGTTAGCCAACTGTTGGGAACTGAGCTGGGGTCCTCTGTAGGGGCAGCCAGTAATCTTAACCACTGAGCTCTCTCTCTAGCCCCAGTTCCAAATATAATTTTTATTCTGTGTATGAGTGTATTGCCTGCATGTATGTAAGTGCACCTGTGTTGTGCAATGCCCAAGAAGGTCAGAAGACAGCAGTGGATCACTGGAGTTACAGATGGTTGTTAGCCACCATGTGGGTGCTGGGAATTGAACCCAGGTCCTCTGCAAGAGCAGCCAGTGTTCTTAACTGCTGAGCCATCTCTCCAGCTATAGCCCCAGTAGGCCTGGAGCTTTCTATGTACACCAGGCTGGCCTCCATCTCACAGAGATTCATCTGCTTCTGCCTCCTGAATGTTGGAATTAAAGGTGTGTCATACCATGCCTGGCTTATTTATTTATTTTTCAGGTAAACTCTTACTCTCTAACCCAGGTTAGCTTAGAATTCATTATGTGGTCTAGACTTATCTTAAACTTGTGGTAATCCTCCTGCCTCAGCCTCCCAAGTGCTGGGATTACAGGTGTGAGTGCTATGCCTGGCTGTGAGGACATGTTCCTTCAGATGCTTTGCAGGAATTTGATATGTGGCCACACTGAATGGTTTTACAAAACAAGAGAGATCTCAAGCTCTCTTATAAGGCTAAGAGGTCTGTACGTTTAACGTCAGCTAAAGCCAGGTTCTGGTTGTGTTTTGGGGGCTCTTTCACCCCAACCCATCTTTGTCACTTAACTAACTTGCAGGGCCTTGAAGAACAGTGTAGTGTCTTAATCTACCAATGCCCTGTCTCCTTGACAAATTTGGGATTTCCCTCAGTGGGGCTTCCCTGGCACCTTTCTTCCCAATAGTGCTTGGTACCAGTCTGGGACAACATGAGCCATAGGCCTCAGTTTCCCCCTCTGAGAATAAGCAGAGAGAGGGCAGATTTAGACCTGCATAAGGTCGCCACTTGGTGCCCAGTGTGGGTACCTGCAGTGGATGTGTTCTGCAGAGGTTAGGGAAGGATTGGAAAAGTCAAGTCACCTAACAGAAGTGTGGTGCCATGGGTCTGGGGTCTCTTATTCAGGATTTGGGGAGCTGAGACTGAACAGGAACACTTGGTAGGTCTTGAACCCCTAAGGACCAGGTTGAGTGACTCTTGTGTACACCTAGGCTGGGTTGATTTGAGTTGTGAATATTTGGAGGTTGCATTCTAAAAGAGCAGAAATAGAGGACCAGGGGATTTCTCACCAAAGAGCACAAGCTTGGACTGCAACGTGCGCAGATAGAGAATGTAACAGGCGCCAAAGAAGACAGCCAGAGCCACCAGCAGCATGGGGGAAGTCACCCTGGAGGAAGAAAAGTGGTGGGAGGCAGGAGTGAAGAATCTGGGGCTCGGTCAGCCGGGTCCCCTCTAGCCTTGGAGCCAGATGGGTGGGGCCTATGTCTTTTAGGGTAGGGAAGGCCGCATCACATCTGCTCACACTGCAACCTGGCCAGGTTGATGCAGGGCTACGGACCTGGCTGGTCCTTTGCTGACAAGGTCTGGCAGAGCAAGCCCGTGGGGGCGGGGCCTGGCTGGCGAGGGCAGGACTGGGGCTGCACTCACACGCAGTACAAGATGAGTCCCAGGAACACGAACACGTAGTTGCTTTGGTAATACTCGACATTGCGTACCAGGCGCTGGCACAGCTCACCCAGGTTGCGGGGTCTCGAGAAGCGCTGCTGGTCCACGAAGGTGCCCCAAGGCCGGATAGTCGCGCGGCGCCGCTCCAGCCACTCTCGGCCAGCGCCCGAGGGAATCAGCTTGGGTAGCAGGGTCCTAGTGGGCGGGGCAGGTCAGCTATGAACCAGGACGGGGGTGG